GGAAGACGTTTGTCAGGGAGATAATGGAACGTGTACGCATCGCCATGTTGCTCGGGCTCATATATCGCGTGTACCTCAATTAGGTTGAGGCTGGCATCGTACTTACCGTAAAGAATGCCGTAACGCTGTAGTGACCAGTCCAGTTGTCGCACAAAACTTTGAAATAGGTTCAGCGACACGGCATCCGCGCGTACCATCTGCGTCCGGCTCTCCACCCACCGTATACGTGAACGGTCAATCGCCTCCATGAGCTCGGAGGAACGCACAATGTTTGACTGCACCACAGCGCCCCCCACTATCGTGTGCCGCTCAAGATTGTGGAATATGCCTGTCTCTGGGCAAACCCCCTTCTTATATGGCAGCTCATGACAATGGGGGCATGGCTCCACGCGTGGTTTCTCCGCCTCGCTTAGTTGTTGGTACCGTGCCGCCCGCTCACGCCGAATTTTCTCTAAATCCGCCTCAGTCGGCATCTCGTGTGTAGACTGCGTCTATATATATATATATTATATGTATGTATTATGTATGCACCGCTCTTTCCCTCTCTCCTCCTCCCCGTTGTAATGGTTGGGCGTCGAAGAAAAAGAATATATAGATGTGAATATGTTTCCCCCACCCCCCACCCCTAACCCCTCCTCTTGAAATCTCTCTTTTCCCACTGAAACGCAATCAGTCCGTTCCCCTCGGCAGGGGGGGGGGACAAAAAGAAAAAAAAGAAGTGGTGGTGGTGCGTGTCACGTGGAGCCCCCGCAGAAAGAAGAAAGGGGACGATGTCGCACGGAAATAATAACAATAACACAAATAAAGCAAAATGGCCCCCGTCCCACCAGCCTCAGCAAAAAAAAAAAAAAAGGAATAGAGAGAGAGAGAGGGAGAGAGAAAAAGAGACGGAGTTGCTTTAGAACGTCAAATAGTGCTCCCCACGCCTATCAAACGGCTCCGTGCGGCCAAGCAGACGAAGAACTGTGCGGTACGCCCCTGTCATCACCAACGCACGCGTATTGGTCGTTATTTCCGACTCACGCGCCCTTTTTCTTCGTTCCGCGCCCCGCTTTTGCTTTTGGGCCTCCTGCGGGGCTGTTTGTGTGGGGCGGGCAGCACCTCTCCCACTCCTGCTGCCCTCCACCCGCACTTTGATCAGGAAGTCGTCGTCATCCCCATCATCGTCGTCGTCGAGGTCGCTGTAGTAGTCACCGTCGCCGTCACCCTCTTTTGGCGCCGCTGTCATAGACAAGATGCGCTGCGGCACCAACACCCGCTCCCTCTCCCTAACGTACGCCTGCAACTCCCTCATATTCCGGAAGCCAAACACACCGACGCCTCCGCCCGATCCCCGCACTTTTGTCTCCTCATTCCCTCTGGATGCGTTGGTCGGGGTCATGTTCGCTGCCGCCCTTATTCCCCCACCGCTACCTTCATCTCTACGTGTCAGTCGCAGTTCCTCGCGCCGCTTACACTCCGCCTCAATGCGCTGCATCATGGGACGCACCTTGTGCTCGACCCAGTACGCGTGATAGGTCGGTGGCCACGCCTCGCACACCTCATCGCACAGCAGAAGATCCGCACAGAGTTGTCGCATTGACGTCGTCACATTCGCGTCCTCTGCGCATGCAATTGTCACCTCGTCTGTGAGGGACGGTGCGAAGAAGGGCTCCAGCTCCTCCGGGGCGGCGGTGTAACGTGCTATAAAAAGTGCCAAGGCACGAATGGGGCGCCGTGGATGACGCACAAAGTGCACAAACGCATCACGGTAAGTAAGTCCAAAGCGGTAGAAGACGCCCATCGCGAGAAGGAATGGACTCGCGTTGCCCTCCTCGTCCATCACGCCAACGTACTGCACCTCTCGCTCACAGTACCGCAGCAAACTCTCCACACGCTGTTCATGCTGCTCCGCGTCCCGCATGGGGAGCGCCCCGCCCCCTTCAGGGATTTGGCAATAACGAGACTCAAACTCCTGCAGCCACTCCGGTGTGAGGGCCTTCTGCAACTTTTCCCACAAGTCCTCATCGAAATTCATACGGGATCGCAGAGATTCCTTCTTTCTCAAGATCTCCGCAGGTGGGGCACGTGGTTTTCCGCCACCCCCTGCATAATGGTTGCGCAACCGCATGCGGTGAGGCAGGGCAATAAAGGGATTCCTCAGCCCAATGCTGAAAAGCTCCGCCGCCGCACGGGAGTCTGTAACAAGAAGAAGGACGTGAATGTAATCGTCCTCGTTGCCGGCGTCTGTCGGCGGTGTTGACTCCATGTCAATAAAAAGAAGAGAATCTGGGTGTGGTGGCACAAGGTCGCCGCTGCCACTATGACTGCCGTGCGTTGTATGTATCTTGCGGAGTACGGTTGGTGTTAAAAGACTATACAACTCTGTCTGTAGCTGCAGCAATACATCTGGCTGTATCGGCTGCGGGTGTTCCGCCGGTACCTCCAACACAAACTGGGGCCCACAGAACAGCTGCGGCTCGACCATCGCACCCTCCTCCCAATGCCTTCCCTTCTTCGCTCTTCTCACTTCCCTTGCGTCTGTAGGTGAGGAGTGAAAGTCACACACACACACACACACACAAACACACACGGAGGGAGAAAAAGAGAAAACCGCCCCCCTCTCCTTTTTCCTGTTTTCCCTGACAACCCGGTGTGGTGCGGCCAAGCAGAGAAGAAAGAATAAAGCAATGAAAAGGAAATCATGCCCAGTACGCCAAGAGGGGGAAGCAAGTCGGAGGATTGCAGCGTCAATAAGAAAAGGGGGAAAAAGAAAAAAAAAAGGTAAGGGCAAGACGTCCTCCCACAGACAACTTGCATTCCCTCCGTTGCTGCAAGAGGGAACCTGAGCGATTATTTGCTCTACAGAGGGTTTACTTCACTTGTAAAGGGCCACTGCACGGTGAGCAGCGGGTATGAAACCAACACACAACGTCTCAAAGCCGCCTGCAGTTTCCCTCCACGCAGTTTTCCTGCGGCGTCCCTATTGTAAATAAAAGGGTCAGCGAGGATCTCCAACAGTCTCGGTAGAGTGAAAAAAGGCCGCTGCTGCTGCTGCATCTGCTCGATAATGTAGTCATTCTCCTCAAGAAAGCACTCCATCTTGCTCAGGGGTTTTGCTGCCAGTGTGGTGGCACCGCCGCCCTTCGGTGTCTGATTCGTGGCGGCCGTTGTGGTGGTGCCGGCACTATTACTAATATTATTATTATTATTATTATTATTATTATTATTTTCGTCTTCGTAGTTGTCTGCGGCAAGCTGCAGCACCTTCTCGAGCATCGACACCAATAAAGGGACTGTTGTCCGCGTCCACTTGTCGTCATCGTCATGCTGTCCTTCCTGTTGCTCCTGTGATAAAGCTACGAGCTGCTCTAGCAGACACGTTTTCTCCTCCTCCGTGTACGGCACTTCGGAGTGAATCGTCAGTCCCGGCGCCGTCGTCTTCTTCTTCTTGTTTTCTTCCTCCTCCTCCTCCTCCTTCCGCTCCGCAGACATTTTCTTCAGGGCAGTCGAGGACATTTGACTCGCCTCTGTTACTTCTTCCTTCCTTCAAGAGAAAGAACATGCATGTGAACATTCAATAGATGCAGATAAAAGAGACGACAATGACGCGTCTTGCACACAAAGTCACGGAGATAAACGTGTCGTGTCACGCTCAAAGGAAAAAAAAAAAAAAAAGGCAGAAAGGGCAGAAAAGGCAATCCATACATGCATGCGTTGCACGTCACGTCTCCCCCCTTCCTCCGCCCTTTCCTCTCATTAAACTCAACTCCCGAGAGGTCGCTACATTCCCTGCGCCCGCCGCTTTCGCTCTGACAGCTCTTCCAGGAGATGCACCGTTTCCGACAAGTCCTCCTCGATGCGTCGGGCCCAATTTGACAAATCCCCCATTTCCTTCAGCTCCGTGTTGAACTTCCCAAAAAGTGTGGCCCACGCCGTCATCTGCCGCTGAAGCTGAGAGGACCGTGCGGCAATCGCCTTGAGCTCCATCTCAATCTTCCTTTCACGTGCAAACGCAGCAAACACCTCCGCGTTAGCGCTATCGGTAACAGCATCACAGGCCGCCTGTGCGTGTTGCCGCACCTCCTCCCACGCCCGCGATCCAACGGCCCGCAGTTCCGCCTGACGCTCCCTGTGTGCTCGGATCAAACCTTCCAGCACTGACGTTGTAGTCGTCGTCGTCGTCGTCGCCGTCGTCGTTGGCGATGGAGACAACAACGGTGGAGCCCCTCGAACGACATGCGCCTCGTCGTTCCCGCTGCTCTGTTTCCCATCGCGGACCAACAACGCGGTCTCTTGGCCCTCGTGTCCGGCCCCAGTGGGGCACTGCGCGCATGTTACTTCTTGAGAACTGCCCACGTCCTTCTCTCCGGTTGCTTCTGCTGCCTTACTTATCGTGTCACCATCCGTAGACATGAATTTTCTCTACGTAAAGAAAAATGTACCTGAGATACCGCCGTGCACATGCAACGTAAAATATATATATATATAGAGAGAGAGAGAGAAAGAAAAAACAAGCAATGAAACACACGTGGTAACAGAAAATTAAACGCCACTCTGCCGAGTTGGGATCTCCTTCTCCTCTCCTTCTCTCCCTCCTTCAAAGACGCATGCATTATATGCACGGTTGTTTTCAGTATTTTGCCGTTGATTCCTTAAGAAGCGAAAAAAAGATAGGAAAAAAAAAAAAAAGAAACAAAGAGAAACAAAGAGAAAGAGAGAGAAAATTTTTGCACCGTTGCGTCATTTCCTTTTCAAACCGCACACACACATACATATATATCCAATGCAGCCTCCTCCCTGTCAAAGGCCTCGTCATCCAAGCCGTAGCCTCGCTTCACCGGCGGTGCGGTTTTGACGTCTGCAGTGGATTGGCAAACGGCATGGTTCCCACCACAGGCACGCTGTACGGCAGCAAGTCGTCCACAAGGTCGATGTGCGACAATATCATGCGGCGGCAGCACATGCGGTCAAGCTGCAGGGCGTTGAGCGCCTCCGCCTCAGTGTAGTCCTCGCTAAGCAGCTGCTGGTACGTCTCGTAAAGGTTCCCAATGACTTTCCCGCAGGAGTAGCAACGCACAGGAATAAGCATGAGGCTGATGCTACAAACAAACAGCAGCAGCAGCAGCAGCAAATAACTACAACCCTTCAAAATAAAATAAAAATAAAAAAGAACAAGCATGGGGAGCAAATACACATAATTAAACGCATACACACTTTATTTTCTTAGGGAAACCACACGTAATTGGTGGAGGAGGGAAATGAAACCTCCTTCCTGCACTGCCCCCTTCTTTTTTTTTTTTTTTTTTGCTGTTGTTATTGTTGTTTCCCTCTTCCCTCATATCCCCCTTCTTGAAAGAAGAATAAAAAGACGCCTCCGCCCCCCATTTCTCTTTGCTCCGTTGAGAACTGCGGCAGAAGGGACGGTGAGCATACACGACAAAGTGGCACGCATCCGGTAAAGAAATGGCAACGGGCCAAATGCCATTCCGCCGCTGAATCCAAAAAAAAAAAAAAAAAAAGGAGAGAGAGAGAGAATGCAGACAGACAGCCACACGAGGCGTGGAAAAAGAAAAAAAAAACTCCCTCTTTCTCCTCATGGTCCGTGGAGTCCAGATGACATCAACACATGCACAGAAAAACAGAGATACCCTTCCAAAGAGGCAATCTTTTTCTTTTCTGTTTCCTCCCTCCCTCCCAGCTCTGCGGCGTTGAAGCCCCACAAGTCATGTCACCTCCCCCACCTCTTCCCACTCTACTCTATTGGCCCTCTTACTCCCTCCCCTCAATGACGCGGAATGACCGTCAACATCCTCCCTCAGAGAAAGTAGTCAGGGGTTTTCTTCGACACCTGCGCCTCACCTCGTCGCGGGGCGGGATCAAACTGAAAAAAACATTTATTCATGTGCTCGTCGAGCTCCAGCAATCCGGCAAGGTTACCGCAACGGTAGCAGTAATTTGGTGCGCTAAATATCGTCACGAGACGATCATTATGTGCCCAGCTGTATCCGTCCGTCACCAACTGATGTGCCCGTGCAATCATCTTGAGGCCGTTGTTGTGACAAAACTGCTCGGAGATGTCGGCGCCAAAAGTAAAGCCGGCCCCACGTGGACTGATGCCCCACCCATCACGGTCCTCAGGATCCGACCACAACAAATCGCACATGGGCCCCTCGTGTGGAACCTCCTGGACGCGCTCTAAGCTACGAATATGCGCCAGACTATCCAACGTGGGAGAAAGACCGCCGTGAAGGCAAAAGATCTCGTTTTCCACTACCGCCGCCAGCGGCAAGTAATCAAAAAGATCGGTTAGCAACTTCCACACATTGGCGCTGCCATATTTGCGTACACACTCATCGTAAAAGCCGTAGACCTGCGTAATCTGGCGTGATTCATGGTTACCACGAAGAATCTGAACCCGCTCCGGGTATCGTATTTTAAAAAGCAACAACAATGTGACTGTCTCCACACTGTAGTAACCGCGGTCAACGTAGTCGCCCATAAATAAATAATTCGTGTCAGGTGGGAGACCACCAATCTTCAGCAGCTCCAGCAGATCATGAAATTGACCATGTATATCTCCACATACGGTCACGGGTGCACGCACGGTATGAACATTCCCCTCCTTCTCCAGAACCTCCTTGCCTTTCTGGCACAGCTTCGCCACCTGTGGCTCACTCAATGGTTTTCCCTGTAAAACATACTGAATCAATTCATCCACATTGAAACTGTTAGGCTCACCCACCGCACCCGGTGGTGTGGGGACCGCCACTGCCGTCCCTGTGGTTGTGGGTGACGCTATCGTTTTATTTGTAATTCCAGTAGGTAACGCCCCCTCCATGTGTATATATATATATATATACTGCGTGTGTGTGTGTGTGTGTGTGTATGTGTATTTTCTTATTTACTTTTTTACTTCTCTTTTATATATATATATTTATATATATAAACTCTTTCGTCCTCCTCTTTGATTTGTGGAATTTATTCTCGTTCGTCACTCGTTTATTCTTCTTAATTCCCTCTGTCTCTATTATTAGCCTTTCTCTCTCTCTCTCTCTCTATGTATATATGTGCGTATCCCTCCTTATCGTCCTACTCTTTTCTCTTGCAATGCTTCCACTCCCCACCCACTGCAAGAGACTGAGTTATGTCGCTGGTGTACGCTAACAATAAATGTGAATTTCGGCCTCAAAAAAAAAAAAAAAAAAATTTTTGGAAATAAGGCCACCAATAAAAAAAAAAAAGAAGAAAGAGATGAACATGTATACATAAAGAAGAAATAAACAAGATTAAGAAGGGATGGGGAGGTACTAAATCCAAAAAATAATAATAATAATAAAAGTAAGTGGAAGCATAAACACATGCATCATCATCACCGTCCTCCGCCTCATTGTATCCGCCCTACTTCCATATGTATATACTTTCCAAATACAAACACAATCTTCCTCCTCCCTCCCTCCCTCCCTTCCCCCAGAAGCATACATGAAACCCGTTAGAACTTATGCATCTAACCATTCATCGAGGTTAAACTCTGTCAGCTGCAATACGCAGTCACATATATCCGTGATGGAGTCATTTTTCCCCTCGTCCGTCATTCGGGTCGTATGTTTACTGCCACCCACCCCACGACGGCTGCTGTCACACGCGTATCCCTCATCCCTAGAAGGCGGCAGAGAAACCGAATGGGAGAAGTCGTTTGTATCGTTCCAGGAATCACACCCGTCCATCGCACGGGCCCGCCAATTTGTTACCGCCTCTTTTCCTCCATCGCCAACGGTGTCACCACAATACTCCCCGCGATTTCGCTTCTGCCCCAAAGCCGGCGTTGCCTTCCTCCGAGACTTCCGTTCCGTCAGGCTGCTGTTCTGAAGGCGTTGTAGCCGCTCCGCTAACGCCGCCTCTATCTTCTCTCGCCGCTGACGCTCCATCCAACGTTTCTCCAGCACCGCCCGACGCTTCAAGTCATGCACCAACGCCCCCCATTGCAGCGGCTCATCACATAAAGGGCATGGACACGGCTGGCAGGGCAAAAGTGTCAACGATGGAGAAGACGCACAGCGACTCTCTTCAAACGCAGAAATATGACCACTGGAATCAAGAATTGAGCCGGCATCCCTCGACGAAGAGAAGTCCGCATTGTTCACAGAAAGTGAATGAAGCTGCCGCCCGGATGCATGAGCATCCATAGTCCCATCATTGCTATCATCCTTTATTTTGTTACTGTATTCACCGCTGCGCTCATTTCTGGTTGACTGCCCCATCGTCACATCTCGTTTCTGCATCGTTTCGTATGTGAACCACATGGCGAGACACGCCAAGTGAGCACGCAGAGCACAGAACGGGGTGCGATAACACCGTACAAAATAGGGCGATCGAAGTGGCAGGGAACACAAGGCGCATGGGCATTGATTTGCTTCCAGTAACTCCTTTACTCTGGCGTGTTGCCGGAAAACATCCTCCTCAGACAAATACCTGCAACTCCGCACACGTCGGCTGGGGGCGTCCACGTCAGGCTGGCTGCTGAGCGGTGCCGTCACGAAGTAGACGCAGCCATCCCCTGCGGTACCATCTCCTGACACCCCGTCGAGGTAAAGACTCATAAAACGCTCCTTCGTAATCTCCTCTATACGCAGTAAAGACGTTGCGACCAATGGAGAGATTGACGGGACACGTCCTTGCAGCTCCGCCACCACGCGCCCAACGCGTTCCGGTTCAAAAATATGTAACGTCAACTGCAGCCGTGCAAAAAGGTCGGCACGTAACAAAAGGTGCAAGACACCTACCGCATACGGAAGACGGTGTACGCCACGCAATTGTGTCATCTGCGTCTTCAGGCGGGTGGACTTCGTTGGGTGCTGCCAACACCACTCAAATTTGAGAGCGATGCGGTCCTCTCCGAAGCCTGAGACGCAACAGAGCAGCTCCCACGGACGCCCACGACGTTTTGTGCGCCAAGCACCACTCACAATTTCCCCGTTGTGTTGCCGAAGACGTCGAATGGGATCGACGGTGTACCCAATGTAGTACTCCCCCGCGCACTGCGGGTCTAGACTCGTGAGGAGGTACACGCAGTGGAACCTCGTGTCCATTTCCCCCCCCCCCCCGTAACGTATCGTGCGGTGGTGTACTGAAATCAAAGGACCTTCCGCCACACGGACAGACAAAGGAATACGCACAAATAAATAAAATAATAAATAAATAAAGGGTAGGAATTCTATCTATCTCTACGAAACAAATGGCCCAATCAAGGCAGAAGAAATACCCACAAGAATTCACCCAATGGACGGCTGTGGATGTCGCTCGCACTCTCGTCCTCTTCCACCACTGTTACAAAAGCCGCATGAAATGCGGAAGAGTGGGTGCGTGGAGCACCAGAAAGGGGAAAAATCGACCCCGAGCACACGCCTATTGTATTTAAAGAAACGCCAAATAAGAGAAAAAGAAAAAAGGTGTGTAAAAACAAAGCTGCAGTGTGGTCTCACCACATTCCGCTATACATATCAAGTAGAAGCAGCGGCGGAAGTAATAAAATAAAATAACATCAGACACATCACACAAACATGCAGACTCGCTCTCGAGCAGCTTTCTTGCTTCGATGTCACCTTTCTTCATCCTGCTATTCGTCCTGCTATTGCCCCATCAGGAAGGAGAACACAATCAAAGGGGCAGAAAGAGCTTGGCAGCGCTGGTAGCCGCCGCAGTGGTAGTGGCAGCATTGGCAGGCGTCTGTTTCTTGCCTCTTGTTTCTTGTTTTGTTTTTCCCGTTTATTCATTGATTTTTCCTTCCAAGAGAGGGAGAGCGGGGCAGGAGAAATAAAAAAAAACAAGAAGGGAAAAGAAAAAAGAAAACCCCCCGCCCACCGCCTCCCCACTCACCAGAAAGGCGCCCTTCACACCGCAGCCACAACACCAAAAGAAAAAGAAAAATGGAATAAAAGGCAATAAGCCCCCTCCTCCTTCCCTTTTGAACGTTGCTGAAGCCGCCCGTTTGTTTGTTTCTCCCTGACAGTTGGTTCCCTTCCATCCCTTCGGTTATTATTTGCCGCCTTTCTTTCCCCCCTCCGTCACCCCACACACACACCAACACACATAGACACAGAGAAAAAGGCAGGCACGCATGTCTCCTCCCTCCCTCACTGTCAACGGCCTCGCCTCTTCTCCGCCGCCCGCTTGCCAGCTCCTCTACTTCTCGCTGTTTATCCCCCATCCCTGGCACCGACCCTCCTCCTTCAAAACGAGGGGGTTCACTACCTGGCAGAGTGAGGGGAAGGGTGCCTCCCCTCTCGCGTGTCACATTTTGCCTCCACGGACCCCTCTCACTCCCATGCATACCGGAAAGGCAGGCAGATAGGTCTCACATATGCTTGCACTCACGTTCCTGGGCGCACACAAGAACGTCTTCTTTAAACCCACACACACACACACGCTCTTCCTTCTTCGCCTCATCTCTCATACTCCCTCCGCGGGCCATAATCGCACAGGCCACACAAACACACACAAACACCACCGTCTGCAGGGCGCACAAAATACATGTGTCTCGCTGTGGAGAACTCACCCGATTCGAAGCACAAATGAGGGCAAGAGAGAGAGAAGCATCACTTGTAATAACGACCACATCCATAACGATGGAAGTTTTTATAATCGTACAAAAAAAAAAAAAAAGCGTGAAAATGAAGCAATAAGAAACTCCCAATTAAATGAGTTATTCGCTCCGCATGCACATTCCCCTCCTCTCAAAAAAAAAAAAGGGAAGAGAGACAGAGAGGAGGTAATAACCGCCCAGGGACAACATAATTTGTTGTTGTTTTTTTTTAAAAGAGGTGCACCACAGAAAAGAAAAAAAAAAAAGAAAAAAACGCGTTAAAAAAAATTGCATTTTTCTATGCAATTGACTTCTTCACCTCACGGTGCAGATGCACAAGGAGCTGATCATAGCCCATGGAGCCACCCTCGTTCTCCTCCTTGAATTGCCGAAAAAACGCCTCCTCGCCGCGGTCCTTTTCGTGAAGAATCACAAAACGCCGCATTCCATCATCCCGCATGAGGCAGGCGTACAACACGTTCTTCAGCCTTTCGCCAAAGTTCTCAAAAAAAACCGTGCGACCAACTTCCAAGGCATTCGTGGTCCCAAAGAGTTCAAGCGAAACTTCCGGCAGAACAGAGGAACCGATCCACAAATACACAATTCGTGCCTGCTCGTCACAGAGCACATAGACCCCATCTGTCGTGATGCTGTCAAAAATGAGCTGTTGCCAGCCTGGCAGAACGCAGTGGCCCGTCTCTGGATCTATCACGCCGCTTGTGGGTTCAGAAAGGAGATGATGAACGGCATACAAGGTCGGATACAAGTACGTTACACACTGGTGCATGGGAATCGTCATGAGTAAGAAAAGTTTCTGCACGCGATCGTCAATAGGTACGGTGGTGCCCTCCACTAGCGCATCGGCTTTCATAAATGAAAGCACAAACAATGGTATGAGCCGTAGGCGTGAAGGCATCAGCAGAGACGATGTGGCATTGGAAGTGCACACACGACGGTAGGCAACCAACATTTTCAATACACGGTCCTGTGCAGTACTACGGGCATATTGTAGACCTTTGTTGACAGCGTTCCCAATCGCCTCGTGAATGTATCCCATAAGTGTCGCCTCCAAATCGGCCTCAAACACACCCGAAAGTGTCGTGACTACTGACATACGAACAGAATGCACTCGTACGCGCCTTTCCCCTCCACGTGTAGTGTACAGCAATGCAGTCTGAAAGTAGGCGTAAGACGTTTTCTCCAACTTCCCTTCATGTGCAAATTCTACAAAAAAGGTGGAAGAGCCTTGCACGTGGGCGAGATCCATGTCGTGCGAGTCCTGTGACATGAAATGGCCATGGTAGGCCTGCACTCGAACCCCACTACTGCAGCGGACACGTAAGATGCCCGCATACCCAGCCTCCTCCAGCAATGCCTGATTCATTACAGCCTGTACTTTGGTCGCATCCGTCTCACGGTCATAGTTGGAAAAGAGATGCACACGACCGTTAGAGAGGTGACATGGTTGCGAGATTGTAACCAACTCACAGTACTGGTCCGCAAACATGTGCAGATCAAAAGATATCTGCTGCTTAGCGCATGCCGTAGCGGTTGTCCTCCAAAATCCTTCAATGGGCCGTAGCAAATCCTTTTCTTTATCGGTTCCATACAACAAATGCTGCTCGCGCAGCTTCAGTGCGCCAATGCCACGATGTGGTGCCTTGTGTCCGCACAAAATGACATGGCCGCCGTGCTGCCCAGCAAGCACCAACGTGGCAGCGTGCACAGCGGCACCCATGACGCTATCCGTTTCTCGAAGATCCTGCGCGTACTCCATAAGACGCATCAAAAAGGCATCTACAAGGTCCAGTTCGGTGCCTAGTGTCAGCCAGCACAGGCTCGTAAAAGGTAATGGAACAAATGGATTGTCCACATCGGCAACAATCAACTGCGGCATTCGCGGGTGACGAACATTGTAAAATTGTAGCGTAGATGCGTATGTAATGAAGGCCACACGGCACTGAGGATACTGTTGGGCCATCTCGTGCAGAGAATGCATCAAAGCATCCACGTAATCAGGGAGAAAACTGGAGACTGCTTTTTGAGATACGTCCAGCAGAAATAAATAGTGCAACGGTCTCGCCGGAATCGGTGCATCCTTCTCATCACGGAGTGCGTAATCCGGGTAGGGACCGACATCATACTCCACGCTGCCTCGGCTCAACTCCGGTTTCTCTGCCCGATCCAACCGTTGGTTACGTGCATCCAAGTTGCAAAAATATTCATTCTCCACCTCGTTCGCCATGTTACAGAAGGGGCACACCCAACACCGGCCCATATCCACAAAGCGTGCGTGGCATGAAATGTAAGCACGGCAACGAAAGCATCGCACAGGTGGCCGGCCTTCAACAAGGGGAACTTCCTCGCGTGGATACAGCGGCCGGCAAAGTGGAGCCAGAACGGCTCCAAAAAATATCTTACTATCCTTCACAAGGCGCTCCTCGGCGGGGACAGAGTTTGTGGTGGGTCGAAAAAACTTTGGACTCGCATTTCCGTCATCAACGGCAAAAAATCCCGTGGCACTTAGCGGCAACTGACCTGAAGAAGTCTGAATCTCCTGATTACCTGGTTTTTGGGAAATGTCACGGCGTGGGTTTGGTGCACTTTTTAAATCCACGCTGCGTCTTGGCGGGGGACGAGCGCACCTTCCGACAACTGAGTTGCATTGCTCTTGTTGTGTGGGATAATTGCCAGAAGGAAACGCTCCCGCCTGCGGGCGCTGTTGCGCTTGGTAGGCATGCTGCTGTGTCGGAAGTTGCATACCACTAGCATCTGTCTGAGAATTCGCAAAGGGGATGGCTCCTGTCGAGGAAATTAACGAGGTAGATGCCGCGGCATTGTTCGTCGTCGTCGCAGCAGTCGTAGTAGTAGTAGCATCCTGATGTGGATACTGCTGCACCTGCTGTTGGGGAAGCTGTGGCTGTTGCGGATGCATCTGTGGTGCGGGTGGTGGTGGTGGCAGCGGCTGTTGTTGTTGTTGTTGTTGCTGTGGATAGTTGGGTGTGGGATAGTAATTGCTATAGCTCTGCACCCCGTTCGGTGTTGCAGATACGTAGGGATCATGATACTGGCCAGGCAATTGTAGCCCGTTGTGCATGGCACCGCCATGCTGCGGGTTTGTGTACTGTTGCCATGATGTGGGGGGAACTCCCGCCTGCTCCTGCTGGCCCTGAGGATAATAATAATAGTTCTGCTGCTGCTGATCCAACAGCTGCTGCTGCTGCTGTGCGCCGCCGTACGGATAGTACATGTATCCTACTTTTGTTGTTGTTGTTGTTGTTGGTGATGGTGGTGGTTTGGGAATAAAGAACAACAATGGAAAAAGAGAGACAATAAAAAAGGATACGACGCATCTTGAGGCGCAGCGACACACTCGCCCATCACACAGCAGGAAGAATGGGAGAATGGGGGGAGAGGAAAGGATGGGGTGAGGAAGAGGCAAGGCCGTGTCCGCACACATCGCGGTGGTCGTCCCCCCGTTGTTCATGTAAGTCCCACACAAAAACAAACAAACAAACAGGGATATGGCCCTCACTTCGCCAGAAATGACCACCGATATAAAGGTGAGAGATCACATTTTCAAATAATAACAATAATAATAAACGATGAGAAGAAAGAGAAAAAAAAAAAAAAAAAGGAAGAGAGTGCAACCATAAATGTTACAGCCGCCATGCACGCCATTGACGCTGCTTTCACTTCCAATTGCATTCTATTCCCTGTTTTGACTGGGTGCTCTTTATATTATTATTACTATTATTATTATTTCCCCTTTTTTTCCCGGAAAAGGGGGAGGGGAAGTGTTATTTTTGGCCTCTTCCCACCTTCTTTCTCCCTTTTTGATTCCCTGTCATGGATGCCCCGGCCTCAGCCTCAGCCTCACACACAAATATGCGTATATATATATATATATATAATTCGCCATACAGAGAGAGAAAAAAAAAAGAGAGAGAGAGGGAGAAGGGAAATGAGGAGAGAGAAAGAGCCGCAGCAGGGGGGGGAAAAAAGGGGGTAAAATGGGAGAGGAACCATAAATAGTCATGCACGCATGCCAACCACACCTGATTTGACATTCATTCATTACTACTAATAAGACAAAAAGAAATGTCATGTTGTTTTGTTTTTTTTTGTTTTTTTATTTGTTTGTCTTTTGGTGCGTGGCTGGTCCCTCTCCGTTCATCTTTTTGTTGTTTTGTTTCGTTTCGTTTGCTCACTCCACAAACAAAAAAAAACAACAACAACAACACAGAAACACACACACAGAGACACCCCCTTTTTTTTATTGGTTTTTTCCCAAGTTTTCTTATTTACATCGCTTTTGTATTTTTGATTGTCGATTAACCGCCCCGGCGTTTATGGTTGATGGAGCATCCAATAGAGGCGTGTGGATTGGTTTACATGCTGGCAAGGCGCAGTGCGATGATTTCAAACACATTGTATGTAATGCCCTGCGACTCGCAACCTGCAAACCCCATCGGCGCCAAGGACGCCGCCGCGGATGCACCCTCCGACGGCGCACTACTCAACGGGAGGGGGTGTGACGCGGATAACTCATGGCCATTTGCCGACGTTCTTGGGCTGCCTCTCCTTTCAAGCGACAGGGAGCGGGAACGCCGGCAGGAAGACGGCGGGGAATTGGAGGAAGAACAAGTCTCGGCGTGAGAGCGTACTGCCGTGGAGGCCACATAAGGACGCAGACCACGCAAAATGCTGGCATCATTCTCTTCGCCATCAAACAAAGCCACGTGCGCACGACAGAAGTGCAGCATTTGTTCAATTGTCATGTGGCCGCAGTTCTTCGTGTCGTAGGCCCGAAAAACCTCCTGTCGCCTCTGCTCACTGTAACAGGGCACCAGACCCCGCACATCTGGGAACATCTGCGTCGCGTTTTTAGAGCGTTGTGACGACGGTGTGCCCCTACCACGTCGCTGACTTTGTTGTTGTTGTTGTTGGTTGCGGTTGTGGAGTGGCGCCAACGGCTCCGTGCACACCCCGGTCCTGTGAGACACGTTGGATCCCCCGTGTCGAGGCAGCGAGTGAACACCACGCGTCCACGTCTCTGCGTGGTGTGCACCATTAACACACGGCGGTCTTTCACGTCCCTCGGCGGCGCGTTGCGTCGCGGACTTTTCGACCGACTCCGGTGCCCCCCGTCGCAACACCCCGTTATTTCTGCCCCTTTCACTTTCGTCCGTTGCGTCTGCTGCTGCAGCCGCTATCTTTTCACGGTGGCGGGGAACTGCACTTGTGGGCCGACCATTTCGCCCATCTCGCTGTGGCTCGTAGAACTCCAACTTCACCATAAACCGCACACAGAGATCCGACACGGTGAGTGGCAAACCGTTTGTCAACATCGGGCCGTGGCTGCGACATCCCTCCCAATGCATCTCGTGATCCCCCACCACCAATACAATGGGGTCAAACTCCACCTGTACATACAAGCGCGTTTTGGGGTCATTGTTGCCGCTGCCAGACCAAACTGCATGCATATATGTCTGTATTTCCCCACGCATAAATAGCGGAAGGTCAATGGAAAGAGTCTCTTGTATCTCTGCTGCGCCGTTCCCATCCACGCTTCCTGGAATCCACATAATCCGTTTCATGGGTGACACCTTATGTTGAGGCCAAGAGAATTCCAACGTCCAACTGCCATGGGAAGTAATGGGTTGAAACCCACTCACTTTGATATGAGAGAAGACAAGACTGCGTGGTTGACACGCACGAGTCCGAAATTCGTTTGGATTCAGATTGTCACCACCTGCGGACTCGAGTTGATTGCCTGACGCAGAATCCACTAGAAATACATAAGAACGCCTTGGATGCAAGAATTCCGCGTCTGTGTGGGCTGAATGATTCAAATGAACGGAATCTGAACAGAGGGAAGGTCCATCTGCGCGGCCCCGTTCACCCGATGCCTGGCCAGCCGTCTGCACCCTCCTTTTCCAGCACGCTAAACGACTCGTAGGAGAGGAACACGCAGATCGCACCTGTCGAGGTTTAGAAGCCACACGGGAGATATGGGTGCAAACTCCTGTATCGCCATCTGTCGGCACGAATGCGACATCCTGGTTTTCTGCCAAACTCCAGGACTGTGGCTCCGCAAGCTCGGATTGTCCGTCCAGAGCCATTTGCCCGGGCACCAACAACCCCGAGACGTCGCCGCTCTCCTGGCAGTACACCTCAAACCCCACCTGCACCTCGCCCCCGCATGGAGTCATCGGGAACCAGTCGCCAGGATAATAGCACGATGCGCTGCCCCAAGGAAGCGCTTCATCGGCAGTGCGTAGTACAACGTGTATACCTCCCCGTGACATACTCGCGGCTTCCCCGCCGTGCAGAAAGGGAGAGCTGCTGGCCTTTTCGCGGAGAGCGCCCCACCTCCAATCACCAGCAATGGGAATGACAATGTGGAGGGAGTCGAGTCCCAGCGTGCGTCCTGCGGAAAGGAAGTGTGCGGAATCCGCAGAAGATGGGCGTTCAAACTGCATCGCATCTTCCTTCTCCACCGGGAGAGGCAGGAGTGGCTCCGTTAAGAGCGAGCAGCTATCCACAGTAAGCTCCGTAACCAACGGGGCGTCGGCTATTGTGTCCGGTAGCCCACGCACTCTCACCGCTGTTACAATCAAGAAGTATGACAACTCCTGGTGCCGCTCGCCGCCTGTCATCCCCGCTGACGCCCCTCGTACGGCACCCATTGCAGTCCTTTTAATGGAAGAGGAGGAGAGGGAGGAAGGGAAGGATAAGAAAACGGCGTGCTGCTGCGTTCTGTGCGTTTGTGTTTGAATTGCGACTGGGCACAAGAGAAAAATAATGCACTCACTCTCCTAGGCACTCTCCGTGTCTGTAAAATGCTTACTTACCCTGGGCGTATGTGTGTGTGTATTCTTTTCCCCTGCCAGACTCCACAACAGGTGCAATGCAGGCAATGCAGTGCAGAGAAATCAAAAGGTGATGCAAAATAAAAGTAAATAATTTCCCCTTGACACGTGAATCTCCACATGAAATGACGTCATGGCACACAGACAGACCAGACAGACCAGACATACAGAGATAGAGTAGAAGACAAAGTCCCACATGCGCTGCTGGAAAAAGGAAAAAAAAGAAATCACGCTGCAACAACAACAAAAAAAAAAAAAAAAGAGAGATATTAACTACATGTCATGACGGCCAGATAAAAATAACCGTCAATGTGTTCTATGCACGGAGTGAAACAAACAAACAAACAAAAAAAAAGTACATGCGAGCAACTTCTATATACATCGTAAATAAGAAGCCCAAAAAAAAAAAAAAAAAAAAAGATTGGCGGTGTAAATTCTCCTCTACCTCCCCTTCCTATTTATGATATCGTGCCGCCACCTGCTTTTATCACCCCTTTTTTATATCTCCGTCACACGGCTGTCACCGCGGAGGCCAAAACAGCAGCCCTCAACCAAAGCGTCGTTGATCAACACATCATACACCGCTTCAAAGCGCACATTCATATGTTCCTTGAATGTCACAGAGATCTCACACACACCGGGCTGGCCGCCTCGCGTGGCGCCAGGAATGGTGCCTTGCATTGGAGTAATGGTGAAGCGCTCCGTGTCTTCCACGACGACATGTTGTCGCTCCTCCTTTTGTCGCACTGTTTGTTTCTGTGGGCGGCGGCGTTGTTGTTGTTGTTGTTCCTGCTCCAGCTGCATCGGTTGCGGTTTCTCGCACTCGGTGCTACAAACATCAACACCAGTGCTGTCCATTTCCGTCTCACTCTCATCCTTCTCCCCATCACCACCTTTAGCAGCACCATCGCCCTCATCTTCCATCCAGTAGTTTGCTATCTCTTTGATATGACGCTCGCGGGTAAGGAGCTGTGTGGCCTGTAGCGCGGTGCTCCTGGTGTAGGCATGCGTCCCTGCAACGCCCTCATCAAAAGGTGCGGTGTTGGCGGAAAAAAATTCTGCAAAAATTTGACAAGACGGAACAATCACAAAAGTGACTGCGGATGCGTAGGAACTCAGCAACCGTATTTTCTGTGCATATGAGGGCTGCGGTCTGCCATCGTGCAGCAGTTGTCCCGGGCGAAACCACAATATGGAGGGGCTACAGCGCACCGACGGCAAAGAAAAGCTAAGGATGATGGGAATAGTCTGCGTCACCTCTTGCACTGGGGGCGGGCACAAGGCATGGGCCGCGCCGCCCTCGTGTGCTGTTGATTCCTTGATCACCCCGTCGGAGGGGAGGTACATGATGTTCAGTGCTCCCTGCACAATGCTGCTGCCTCGCATCATGGCGTGCACCTCCTGCTTGGATGGCTTGCAGTACTCCAACTGCACCTCCAACGCATCGTGTGGGTGCAATCGATACTTCGTGACGGTCACAAAAGCGGCATCGCCACTCCGCGTGTGACTCCTAGCAATGCAGTCAACATTTGCCATTTTCACTTCTGTTATTGCCATGTCCCCAGAATGCGGTCGTTTCGCTGCTCTCAAAACCCGTTGTGAACTCTGCTGCTCCTCGCGGGTAACCCATTTCAACGCCGCGATTGCCCGCCGCTTTCGTGCCTCCTCCTCATCATCCACTTCCATGAGTTCTTCCTCGGTGTTCTTTGAAATATGCCGTGCTGACGCCACTATAAATGACGAGGAGGGCAAATCCAAGATAAACTCCATCGCCGCACAGCCCAGATTGTTCAACCGCACAGTCTGCACACATGGCGCATCTTCCACGTATTGGGGGAAGTGAATAACATCGCCAGAGGGCTCAACGGTCAGTTGTGCAACGCCGCAGCGAGCACGCACCTCAAGCTCAATAGGAATAAAGTAATGTCGGCTGTGCTCCGCCATCTCCAGCTTCCGCTGCTCCATAAAAGCATGCAAGGCCTTGCGTTCCTCTTCAATGGCAAGAATGACCTCCAGCGGTTTTTCAGAAACAAGCGTCTCATCCTGGTAGTCCTCCCGCGACTCCTCGTCGAGGCTTGTGTCCTCCCCTTCATCCTCCTCCCCCTTGTCTTCGCTCCCTTTCGCACAACTGCTGCGGCTGTTATTCTTTTGGCTCTGGTTACCCATGTTGCTTTTATCTTCTTCGCTCATGAAGGTGCCGCAACTCTGCGATTTGCTCATGGCGAAGTGTTTCTTTACCACCGTCAGCTCCCCTGGCGTGGCCAACAAAATCGCATTGTTCTTCACCACCCCGGGCCGCGATATGAGGGGCTGCTGAACGTTCAGCATCATGATGGGACGCACGATACTTCGCATCCACTTCGGCACCGACTCCCGCAGCCGCTTTCTCTTCATGACACCACCTCTCACTGGGTACCGCGCGGCGTGAAGACGGTAAAACTCATTAATGAGGAATCCGTCATTAAAGGGAGTGTCAGCAACTTCGGCCGTGATGATGACACCACCACGCCACTCGCGCTCGGAAGCACCCTCCTTCGGCACAAATGTCGCATCCGGGGCGTACTCAATGATGACTTCCCGTGAAGCCAAGGCGGGCAAAAATAAATTTTCCGGAGACGCCGCCACCTTCCCTTTCCCCTCCGACTCACGCCGTTGCTCCTCGCCCGAGACAGGCTGAAGTTGCAATGTCACGGCAGCCGCATCCACCTCCTCATCCACGGCAACCACTGAAAAGGTCGCCGTGGTGAGAAAAATCTTCACCGACACCGTCAAATCACGTGGAATGCGATTAATAAGAACCATACTGCGCCTCGATCGCCCAACACCAGCAATGACTGCCGGCATGCGCATCAGTGCCCTGCCACCCAAGACCGTGAGCCCAGCTGTGTTGGAGTCAAGCACCACCGGTTTCCCACTCAGCTCCAGCGTTAGTGGAATGTGTGTGTAGGGCAATTTACCACAGCGTACCTGTAGTGTCTCTTCATATCTTCCAGGAAGGTTGGAAAAGATGGACAGAGGCACCTCTACTGTGGCATTTGGGTAAAGCGGACCAACCGGGGCGTTGCCAAACATGGTGGCACAGCCACGCCCATCCAGTAGTACTTTCTGAGCGTCAAATAACATGGCTCGCCGCTCCCGCTCCATCTGCTCCGTTCCGTCAATCCCCTTGCACCAGAACGCACGTTCAACAGTACCTAGAGAAAAATTCAAATCCGACTCTCCAGTGCATCCCGTCCCACAAGAAGAATCAAGACCCAATTGACGTCGACGTTTTCTCTCCCTACTCTTCCCAGAATGATATCGCTTCCCTGACAACCGTCCACTGCAAACTGTCGTTGTAGACGCTGTTGCTGCCGTTGCTCTCACGGCGTGAGACTCCCCTTTCGTACTGATCCCTGTCAATCCCTCTAAGAAACCCTTCAACGAATACCGCATGGCCTCCACCGTGTAGGAACCATGGCAACTGCTCTGATTGCTGACCCGTAACGCCAACAACTCGGACCACACGGGTTCCTTGTCCGGCAAGTATGATTTCAACAGCACAGGTGGGCAGTACGAACGCAAAACCGCGGGTTGACGCTCTATTTCATTGAGCTCACTCACATCCGTCACTTTACCCTCTGAGCAGCGTGCATCCTCATCCATCACAGACTGTTCCACAAGATTCCACAACAAGGCCTCGAGGAAGTGAGCAATTTCCATTGTTGGTGGCGGTGGGAGATTACATGACAAGACGGGCGGGGTGTACGCCATGCTGCCGGGCCCCTTTGCCGCCTTTGGGACAGGAATGAGGTCAATTGCAGCGCATAGCTGCTGCACCCTCTCACAACGAAGCTCCACAAGGAGTTCCTGCCGTGTGCGGGTGTTTTTGATGACCATTAGGGCCTCTTTTTTCCCTTCCTCTGGATGAAATTCAAACGCACAACGAATAGGAATATGAATACCCTGATAACCCGCTCGCACCACGCCAGGTGGGGGCGCAATGATATTGATGCAAGGTGGCACCACAACGAGCTCAACAACGT